ACATCATTTCTGTCTGCATTGATGAAATCAGTGGTGCAAAGTGATTAAACTGATGTCTTTGCATTCTTCGGTTCCCTGGATTAAAATCAAAGCGCTTTCTTGGCTTCTTGGCTTCCTTTCTCTACTTGCGCACATGCTTAACTCAGGCTGAACATGCTCAGTTGGCTGAACTAACTCTGATCAGCTGTTCAGGGCTGATCACCTCAGAGTTTGTTTTTAAACTCAGAGTTTGATGAACACAGTTCCTGGAATACCCCCCAGGTTAACCTTAATCCTGCTTGTTAATCTGATTTTAACAATTTTTCCTAATATTTGTCTGGATGATGAGACACTGTGAGGTGTTTTTCACTCAGAGTTTTTGATTGCGGGACTTTAATTTTCTGAATGAAAAATCTGGGTGTTGCAATCCTGAATGGCTCTTCCAGTTTGGGTTTTCAGAGGGTGATGACCATGGAGCAGCTCTCAGAACACCACCCCCTGCTGGACATGGTGGACCACAGCAGGAATCCCACACTTCCTGTGAGTCCTGCAGACATTAAACTCAGAGCCATTTGTGCAAACACTTTCTGATTGGTGAGAATGAGACTTCGTTCTATCTGGTAAATAGTGCTGATTTTTTTAAAAAAGCAAAAATTACAGTAATCAGTAAGTTAAATTGCACTGCACATGCTCATTAGTGTTTCTTCTTCCAGAGTTATGTTTGTTCATTCCATCATCACTTTGTTTGTTTGTTTCAGTCATCTCCACCACAGAGTCTCCCCCAGATACAAGGTAAGACAGCCAACACACAGGAAGTGGAATGGCTTTTCTTCATCAGCTCCTTTTCTGACTTTCGGTGTTTCCATAGCGATCATCCTGTTTGGGGAGCCAGTCAGATGGGAGACCAATTTGCAGCTGCTGATTGACGTGCTTCTGACCAATGGCAGGCCAGAGCGTGGGTATGACACCCAGCTCTCAGCACAGCTGCCAGTCTTAGCCTGCAACACGGACTTGCTGTGGATGGCTGAGGCCCCATCACCACGGTAACAACCACAGACCTCCCACAGGTGCTAAAGTGGAGGCGTCCTGCTGATGGCTCTGACCGCTGCTGTGTTGCTGTAGGTTTGGCCATGGGATGTTCTTACTGTGTCTGGAGTCAGTCTACAGGAAGCTGACGGGCCGGGAGCTGGAGTACAAGGCACTGCTGGGAAAACCCAGTCTGGTCACCTACCAGTATGCTGAGCAGGTGTTACGACAGCAGAACTGCAACCGCAGGCTGAACACCATCTATGCCGTGGGGTAACCATATCATCCATATCGAAATCTGTGACAAATGACAACAACACTGTAACTCCATCTGTAACAACATCTATAATGACATCTATAACAACATCTATAATGACATCTGTAACAACTCCATCTGTAACGACACCATCTATAACAACTCCATCTATAACAACATCTATAATGACATCTGTAACAACTCCATCTGTAACGACATCTATATCAACACCACCTGTGACAACATCTATAATGACATTTGTAACGACAACATCTGTAACAACATCATCTGTAACAACTCCATCTATAATGACATCTATAACAACTCCATCTGTAACGACTCCAACTGTAACAACATTGGTAAAAACACCATCTGTAACAACATCTATAATGACATTTGTAACAACTCCATCTGTAACATCACCATCTGTAACAACAACATCTGTAACGACTCCAACTGTAACAACATTGGTAAAACACCATCTGTAACAACAT